AACTGTGCGTCAGTATGAAGTGGATTCAAATTGAGGTGTATAACAGATGTGAGTTTGTTCGAGTGATGATTCTTGGACAGGAAAATAAATAACAAGATTGATGGATTCAAGTGTTTTACGAATAATGAAGGATAACCATCTGGAGTTGGGTTCGGGTGCACGGTTTTTCCAGATGTTTTTATTGCATTTCTGTCGTGAATATTATATCTTTCATATTTTTCATCTTGGGAACGTTTCAAAAATACAGACTTGATTGTCTTCCTGCTCGTTGTTTAAAACTTCTCCACCACCATGATATTATTAAGATACGAAACTGTCATAGCTTTGATTAATACGCTCTGGCAGCTAATTTTACCACTGAAAGCTATTCAGATGGCTGAAGAGCCAAAGAAAACCTTCTCTGAAAATAATCTTTTCATCTTTATTTTTGGCACAAATGCCAAAGGTGCTGATTATTTATCTCTACCATCTCAGGAGGTTGAGCAAAACCGGGAGATTAATGATGGCTTAGATAGCATCTTGAACCCAAAAGTTGCCGCAGATATGACAGGAGTGTTTTTGGTGAAGCGGTAATCACTCTTCCTACCTATCATTCTTCACTGTTTTACACTAAAAGCAGTGATTTTCTTTCATTAATGTATCCATTTAACCTGTGAACCCTCTGTATTACTGTTACTTGTTCATTACTTCACTGTATGGCTTTTTGTGGCATTTTTCTTTTAACCTCAAAGTCACCAATTCTTTACCACTCCCTATACTTAAATACAGGTCGCAAATTTCACATCAATACACGGACACATAGTATTCAAAACGCAATATTTGCAGGTTAATTAGAGTGACAGATATGATCATACTATAGGGAAGACAGAAGGTTTATTTGCAAGGGAAATGAGGGTTTATTTAATGTCTGCCTCCACGCTACAGGAGGCTGCCTAATTGCTGCCTGAGACGTAGCAGCAATTTCCACCCAATTTATTCTTGGCAGGCATAGTGTACTGTATGTACTGTATCACTTGACTGTATAGGCACAGTGCCAGGTAGACCTCAGCTGATTAGGCCATCACTGTACAATGTATAATCTCATTAGACCATCCTTACTGTCACCAAAAAAAAGCTGTAAGAGTTACAGCAGCTCTTACTTTGTTACCAGCTGTGTGTGTGTGTGTGTGTGTGTGTGTGTGTGTGTGTGTGTGTGTGTGTGTGTGTGTGTGTGTGTGTGTGTGTGTGTGTGTGTGTGTGACAGAAATAGCATTGGATCTGTGCAAGGTGCAGTCATACAACTTAACATTTGAGGCAAAAAAAAGGTCAACTTTGAAGAAAAAGTGACATTTCTGAAGGATGATAGAAATAATAAATAGATAAATATTAGCTTTTGTATGCTTCATTTGTAGAGAGCTTAGAGTAGAATCAGGATTGATTGCCTGGTGTCTTTTGTAGTACATAAGAACAAACTTAATAAGATGTTATATACTATGACAACATTGCAGGTGAACAACAGCACAGTGGGAAAGAGCTTTGTGAGTCCAGAGTGGTGATGAAAGGCAGTAAATAGGCTCTAGTTGTTACCAAGATGGATATACAGTTTAGCTGCTCCCTTTGGGGACAACCCATTTCCAGAAATCCTTCAAATCTTCTGCTTAAGCTCTAGTTTTGTAAAAGAAAATGTAATCGATATCAGGTGTGTGTTATCACTTTACAGTAAATTACCTGTAAATGTAATGTCTTTTTTTTCTAGTTGTGGTTTTCGTCTAGCATTTACCACAGACACAGAGATAGTTCAAGATAAATAAATAAACAAAAACAAGTTACTCCTCCTGGCTGTTTCTGCCCCCTCCTCTGTGATGTGTTTAAAATGAAATGTTGCCATTATGCAGCTGTCCTCCCTGACTCAAAGCTATGCTCTGTCTCAAAAGGTGACAACACATTTACATTGTAGCCATGGAAACCACATCTATCATCCAGAGCATGGCATCCAGTGACTTGCACATCAAAAGAGGCATCAGTCATGATGATGTCAGATGAGCTTAACTATGTCTTTCACATACCCAGCAAAAATGCAATGACAGCAACTCTACACAGTGAGATATAAAGCCTCAGCACCAGTCAGAAAAGATGCTGACTGACGGAGAAATCAATGTGTATCAATTGGGTGCACAGCGTGAGGTGAATGACAAGCGTGTCCTTTGGCCTGATGATATGATATTCCCGGCGAGGTCATCAGAGTCTCCCCCCGTCCTGTTGCAGCTCTGGGTCTGTATTATTGAGCTCAGGCCCTCCAGCTCTCTGGAGTGCTATATTTTCAGTAATTGAGTCGTGGGATACACGACTTCAGCTCCAGAGTGTGTATGTATATGTGTGTATAAGAGCTTCAATGTGTGTGCGTGTGTGAGTGTGTAATAGATGTTTTGACTGGCTTGTCAAAGGTAATTGAGTCGTAGGTAAGAGAGAGTGAACTTGCCAGCTGTCAGTCTCTTAAAAGGCAAATCCATCAGAATGCAGCAGTCCCTATAACCCAAAGAGACGTGTGTGCTGGTGTGTGTTTGCACATTCCTGCCTGCCATGCATACTATAGATACTGCACCTCCAAACAGGCAGGGCTGCAGCTGTATAAAAGGCCACAGCACTATGATTCTGTATCATTACCATTTTGATTACAGAATGTGCATGACAAATGGAGTTTGAACATGGACATTCTGTAATCTTGAAGTCAATCTGTTTAAGTGAAGAGAACAAAAAAGTCCTTCATCCTCAATTCTCATTTAGTTCAAAGAAACCATGCATTTTCCCTTTAAGGGACATTTTCCAACCGAATTCTGAGCTACTGTATGAGAGAGTTTTGCAAACAGAAATGAAAAATAAAGAACATTATGCACATATTCCAAAAGCTTTTGTGTTGCTGCTTGTTTGAAATGTCAAAAAACATTAGGCCTGAATATCAAAACCTGCAGTTTGCCCAGTAGATTGTCCTCGAGCTAACCATAATATAGATTAACATCTTTATTTTAAGATGACCATTAGTCCACCTGCCTACAGTATGTGACCTGTTATCGCACACATGTTATTGTGTAAGTCTGTTCACATCATTTCCACCTCCTCCAAAGAAGCACAGCAGGCACAGCAGACATATCCTTACCTGCATCGATAATGCAGCTATACAGCTCCTTATTGCCAGCATCAGCACATCTGCCTCGACATAAATACTAGAGATTTAGCATATGCTTTCGCACACTGCCTTTATTTTAGGTGATTATATTTTGGTAGCCTATTATGTTTGTAATCTAACAGAATATAAAGTGCTTCATGGGGTTTTTATGCTGACTTGAATCAAATCAAAGAACCTCAAGGATAGAGCTGAACAGCCAACAGCTGTGCTTGTCTCATCTGCACATAATCTGTCTGTCTCCTCCAAGGTCACACTGAGAGAGCAAGATGTTAAATACAGCAGCACAAATAGTAAACATGAAAAGAGGAAAAAACAGCAACATATAATATTCAAATGTCTTGTTTTTATCTTCTGATGAGCCTAATACGTAGATGATCCCATGCAAGTATACTGAGATGTTGTGTACATGTTGATATGCTTTCTGCCCTCGGTGTCCTTTTATCAAGGGACATTTCTCTCAGCATCCCACCTGTCAGCATGGTGTTTTGGCTGTCATATTTACAATTTGACCCAGTTATAGACTGTGAGATGTGACAATTCTGACTCCACCAAGCCCTCACATACGTTCTTTGTGGTTGACATCAAAGCAGCAGGGTAACATAGTCTTTCAAGATACAAATTATATTAGAATTGTGATGTAGGAAGCACAATTATTACATCAGTCTTACCCTTCAGAATAGATTTTCTTGGAATCTAGCTTTTAAGTAGCCAGTGTTCCTTCTTGTAGGCCTATATCAACATCACCATCTTACCCCCACTTCATTTTTACGTTTGATGTCATGCATGAATGATAGCTATAGACCCTGTCTGTTCATGCATTATAACCCAGCATTGATTATTCACAAAGCCCACTAGCTTTAATGTGGGTATTTTACTCATAACCTGTAAATATAAACCTTCACCTAGTGATTTTCTGGATTATACTCTCTCCTATAGCACCACCTGGTGGGCAAAATTGAATTAAACTAAAGAGCACTCACCTTTAACACCCAGTGTGTAAAAGTAGTTGCTGCTCTCTGTATTTTCAAAATGTTGCAACACTGCGTCAAGCTAAATGGGTAGCCTACTAATTTTTCAGCAAACCTTTATGAAAACAACTGTATGCTTTTCAGTTTTTAAAAGCTTTTTAAAAAAAATATTATTGTGAAATCTGATGTACAAATTCATCGATTGAATGTTTCTCATAACTCATTATGCTGCTTTCAAATCCGTGTCTCAGTGCTGTACGATACCAGTAACCTCTGTGGAAACATTGGTATAACTGCATTTTTTTATTTATATTTGAGTGTTGTATGTCTTTTAAAAAAAAGTGACCAATAGTCTCTTTAAATAAAGCTGATGATGATAATGCTCATAAGGGCACTCTAGTTAATGAGAAACAAACTAGAAGTAAGCTGTATAAAAAATAAAAATAAATCAGACAACCATATTTACCACCATTTACAAATCAGAGGGCAATTAAATAATATACAGAAGAAAAAAATGTATGGGCAACTAGGATCAGATGATAAGGGGAACACATTGACATGAATAAAGAGAGAAAAATAAGTTGGTAGCCTTATAATGACTGCATTAAGTTAGGACAGCGTTATCTGACCGGCACACCCAGCATCTAACCGGTGCTTATAAACACTTTCAGGATCCAAACCTGATCCAAACACTACTGGAATATGATGGATGTGGACTAGATGTTTGACTGATGGGGCAATAAACGCACCCACCAGACACTGTAGGAGTTAACTAACTCCAGAAGATGGCAGCAATGCAACACTAACTGATTTTGAACATCAGAGAAGAAGGAACCTTTCTTCTGCATAGCCCAACCAACACGGAACTTATTAGGGATACACTAGCAATGCTAACCAGCTGTGTGGCTAGCCGGGTTCCTGTCGACAGTTATTCACCTTGCTTCCTCACAAGTTAACTTTCACTGTAATTTACCTAACTGCTACATAGCCGCATGACAGCAACTTGGCTGTCTATGTGTTACGGTTTTGTGAAATATTCATGCTGCTGAGGTTCTAAAAATGAGAGAAGGGTGAGTATGTGGCTACTTTGCTAATCATTGAAGAGATAGGTGGCTAAATAAAACAGTGCTGTTAGCATTAGCCGCAATGGGAGCTGTCATAGGATAGGTTAGCTTGATAGTTAGCATGCTTGTTACAGAGCTAAGCGAGCTAGCTAGCGTAGATTTCGGTTTTATAGTCACTCAGTTCAAAGCTTGGTATATTGCCGTTTCGGAAACAGTTCGGCTTGACAGTCCATAAATGCTGTCGGTGATGTTAAACTTAAGTTATCGTTTGCCGGATATTGCTAGTTTTCATAGCTATCTTAACGTTAGTCGTTGCTTTTAGGTGCTTTTCACCAGGCTGCTAGCAGCTGTCAACATCTCTTCCTTGTGGGTGGGGTCAAGAGATGTTTTGTTTTAGTCTTGTATTTTTTACATTTATTTGATAAATGTATCCTGATGTTGTATTCAGCAACATTAACGTATATTTGACGTATTCCCGTTGGTGGTGCTTGTTCCTGGTTCTGGAAAGCCCTACCACTTCTACTAACCACACCTGATGAGGTGAAGTTTCAGTTCATCCAGATTTAGTGGCCACCACCCCTGTTGTTGGTTTAACTCACTGACAGACAAGCGATGGTTGTGATCAGAGATCAGGCACGTAGCATTTGTTTTGCCCTGGACACAGGATGGAGATGCACGGTGTTGTTCCCAGAAGTTGAATAGTTTGCTAGGGGGCTTTTTGATTATGGGGTTTTTAATCCTAAACGAACTAATCTACCCGGTATCTCATATTTACCAGATATGTAATTTTTATATGCATTAATGTGAGTATTTGTTAGTTTTTTCTCAAATTGACATACACTGGGGTTTTGCATTGATGCACTAAATAAACATTTTTTTTAACAATCACTTTGGCCTATGAAGGGTATATGTCATTCGTTGTTAATTACATATACTACGAACACATTGAATTGACTGATTTTAATGTGGACCACATGTTCTGGCCAGCATAAGTACATCCTTACCATGTTTTTAGTAATACTTTCTATAATCAGGTACATTCATGTTGAAGCACCTCCCTTTTACTCTTCCTTTTGTTCTTTCTTTATTTGCAGAGTGTGTGTCCAGTGACTCAGCTCTTGTGTCGCCATGGAGAAACCCTGGAGGCTGTGGGCGGCAGTGGAGCGTTGTACCCTGACTCTGGCCTCCTGGTCCTGGGGTGCTTGTCGAGTCTCACTCTTGGCTCTCATCCTCACCTTCCACCTCTATGGAGGCTTCTTTCTCCTAGCTCTTATCCTAGCGTCTGTGACCGGTATCCTCTACAAGTTTCAGGATGTGCTCCTCTACTTCCCTGACCAGCCCTCCTCCTCACGACTTTACGTTCCCATGCCAACAGGAATCCCTCATGAGAATGTGTACATTCGCACCAAAGACGGTGTGAAGCTTAATCTCATCCTGCTTCGCTACACAGGAGGCGACACACCTCCCGGGGCCACCTCTGGCAATCAAAGCAGCCCAACTTCCTCTGCTCCACCAACCATCCTCTATTTCCACGGTAACGCAGGTAATATTGGACACAGGGTTCCAAACGCCCTGCTCATGCTGGTCAATCTGAAAGCTAATGTGGTGCTGGTGGACTACCGTGGATATGGAAAGAGTGAGGGGGAGCCCTGTGAGGATGGGCTGTACCTGGATGCAGAGGCCACTCTGGACTATGTCATGACCCGCCCCGATCTGGATAAGACAAAGGTGGTTCTGTTCGGCCGCTCACTGGGGGGTGCTGTGGCTGTGCGCCTGGCGTCAGTCAACCCTCACCGCGTAGCAGCCATTGTTGTTGAAAACACCTTCCTCAGCATCCCCCACATGGCAGCGACGCTCTTCTCCTTCATACCCATGCGCCTGCTGCCCCTGTGGTGCTATAGGAATCAGTTCCTGTCCTATCGACAGATGGCGCTGTGCCGCATGCCTTCGCTGTTCGTGTCCGGCCTGTCGGACCAGCTCATCCCACCAGTCATGATGAAACAACTGTATGAAATGTCCCCTGCGCGGACTAAACGCCTGGCTATCTTTCCAGAGGGCACACACAACGACACGTGGCAGTGTCAAGGCTACTTCGCTGCTTTGGAGCAGTTCATTAAAGACCTGATGAAGAGCCACGCCCACGAGGAGAGTGCTCAGCCCTCATCTAGTGTAACCATCATCTGAAATAAGCAGTCAGGGATGACTGTTGACTCCAGATTATAAGATGGAGGAAGTGACGGCTGTCACAGTAATTGTTTGGATGTACTTATTCAATTTTTTTGAAAAGAATGTACCTTTTTATGCTTGTGTGGGTTTCTATATTATTTCACTCTTTCTACCTTTTCACTTTATGTAAATATAACTTTTGTTTAAATAATTTGACTATTTCAAGGTTTTAAGAGAGGGTAACAATGCCCTCATGGGTTCTTTTGTGTTGCAGCTATGAATGCATGTATTTATGACCTTAAATGAATGAAGCCAGATCATACATGCCCATACTGCAAGACATGTCACTACCACAGGAATCTGTAATGGGTCTACTGAAATTAAACTGATTACTACTGGAAATAAAATTAACCTCATCATATAAAATAAAAACACTGATATGTAGGCCTATACTGTATATATATTCGTTAATATTACATTTTTCTTTTATTTCAGATTTACCCGAGTTTGGAGTTATGTCGGCTAACATCTTCTGAGCAATACTTGGAAATCTTGTCTGGCACAATTGCGTAAAGAAAAAACTTGTGCTGTTGAATAATTATATTCAGCCATCAAAACATTTGAGGTGGCTCTGACATATATATTACTTCTAACTATTTAAAATAACTTATTGAGATATAATTTCCTGTCAAAGTGCTTCTGTTTGGCTAACCTACAAGATATTTACCCTGATCCTCTATCCTGTTAAAACAGAATAAGGTACATTTTCCTCTTAAATAAGCCCAAAATGCTTCTTTTAAGCAACCTACTGGCTACTGTAGTTTGGTAAAGAGCAATTGCTCTGTTTGTGGTTTGTTATTTAAAGGATAGGAGAAGTTTTCTACAAGTTTATTAGTACCCTACAACACATCAATATCTACAATGACATGTTGCCTGTGTAAACCTCCTTCTCTAACTGACGGGATGCACTTAAGTAAATCCAAGATAGTTCAAGAAAAGATGGTGGACAAAATAAACATTCTCTTTTCATGCAAATACAAATAAAATATAAGGCTTCTGCAGTCCGTGCAAGATACATTAAATTGATCTTTTTTTCAAGATAAGGTCTAGTGAAAAAAAATGGTTTTCCTGCTCCTCAACCCAAATTAAAATGTTCCAAAAGAGATTTAGTGTAGAAAATGACTTTCATTTCGTCAAACTCAGGGCGAAACTACTACTAAGCACACTAGGAAGGGATTCTTAATGGCCAGTATAGACAGAAGGATCGATTACAGCGACCAATTACTCCCTCAAATACATGGCATGTGAGTATTGTATAGAATAGTTTTGAAATGATCTGAGCCTATCCTTTAAGAACTCAAAATAAAGTGTGAGCATTTTAAAGGAATTATGTGAGTATTTGTTTGCCATCATCAGCTTTCTAATTTGTCGTCGGAGGATTCTAGGTGTTCGTCTCATCCCATGCTTATGTGGCAGAAAGGCTTTACTCTTGGAGGGCTTTTGATGAGCTAATGAACCTTTCTTGCATGTCTTCCAGGGGGAGAAGAGCTGGACGATTAGCACACTGTTTCCTGCTTTTGCTTTCCAAATGCAGCCTGCTGCACTGCAGTGCTTCTAAAGCCATTCGAATACAGATATACTTAGCCATATTTCATACTGTTTCCAAACAGTATGCAGAACAAAATTCAACAAACATCAAAAGACCAAACGTGGCATCAATGTGAAACGGAAAAATGGGCTTAATGAATGTAAATTGTTGCCTTGAACTAGCAAGTGTGCTTTTACAATAATTACTGTATAGATGGTCTCTTTTCTCCCTTTTATGTGTGACTTACTGCCACCAGTGGCAAACAACAGTTTCAGACATGTTTTACTTATGTCAAATCCATAAAAGAGTTAGATTTATCCCATTATATGTTGGAGAGCACATTATGCAATCTGGATTCAACCTTGTGAATAGAAACTCATTTTAGTTCCACACTTTGTTTTCCACACTTCTGCTGTTTGCATGACAACATGTCTTCATTTAGGAAATATATAGAACTTCAACGTCATCATTCACTTAATTGTGAGGGTGGCTGGCCTGAAGCAAATCAATTCTAACTAAAGAATTGGGTTTTTATTCTAGCCACATGTATTATTACTTACCAACACCCTGTTGATGAAAAGAAATGGAATCAAACTGAATGTGTCTTCATTTTGTTTTCTTAATCTACCAGGTTTTCTGCAAATGCACTATTGAACATATTTGTATCTATTCATATGATTGTTATTCGAGTAGAATGAGTGATGTTGAAAGTGTTAGCATCATTTGGAATTTCCATTTGCAAGCTGGCATGTGATTTACGTTTCCTTTCTCTAATGGACCTGCACAGTGTTTGTTTGTGTTAATCTACAATGACTTACAGTAACTCCACATGATGGAGTATCTGAACAGTCAGACATCTGAATGATTCATATTTATCCTCAACATAACGCAGTCAGTTTGAGAGATTTTCCATCTTACATATGTTGTTTTTCTATTTCCAAACAATGTCAACAACATTTTTTGTAAGTACACATTTTCACTTTCTATTTTCTGTACTGTAACATGCAATAAATTGATACATTAAAAGCATGTCTTGTTGTATATTTTTTAAAGATTTCATAATGTAACCACTTCACTTTTTAAATTCTGGGAATCACATTTGGTTTGTTTTTCCCTTTACATTTGCTTTCGTTCAAAGTTGAAATGTTGTACTTCCTTCTTTCAGTACGTCTTGGCTCTCGTAGCGGTCACATTTAAATGTTATTAATAATGTCTTCATCTCTCTCCCCCTATTTTCCCCACCATCTTCCAAGCTTTCCTACTTGTTTGTTTCCATTTGTAACTATCACATTGTTTTTTGAGAAGCTGGAATGTGTTCTAACTTTCTAAAAGAGTGGGATGAAGAGAAGAGAGAGATGTGTCAAGGCAGGAAGCAGTGAGTGTGGTTAGCTGAGCGGAAGAGTAGAGGGGAAGCAGTTTTTTTTTTACAGTATTTGTTCTGCGTAATCCGTCAGATATAACTGGAACCAGCTACTGAAGGATAAAATGAGAGTTAAGGAAGTTGCTGGAGCTTTTGGTGTGGCGATAAGGTAAAGCCAGAGGCACAAATGACCGTAACAAACGTCCAGCATTCCGAGCGCCAGTGTGTCTGGTGATGCAGTCAGTGTGAGCTGTTAGGAAATTGTATGGACCCTGGGATGGCAGTTTTGGCAGGTGTAGAGCCTGGGACTGGAAAAAAGACAGGTGAAGGGAGGCTGTCCTGGCCTGTTTTCCTGCTGACCCTAGCTGCCGTCACCTCCTCCCTTTCTGCTCTGTCTCTGTACCAACTGGTGGCCCTCAGAGCCGAAGTAGAGGGACTTAAATCGGAGGTTTATCGCAGGAGAGAAGAAGGACAAGAGGCCAGGCATGGGAGCCAGGTGAGAGACAATTATTCCATAAAGACCTCTTCTTTTGCACAGGATTTGAAAGGCAAGCATTCTACCAACATGTATTGTTTTTCTGCTTTTTGTGTCCATTCAGACTGATAATATTAGTAGGAGAAACAGCCATGAGTCCATGCATCAACCTGGGTCTCCCCTGATGAGGAGGAAAAGATTAGTCTCTGGTTCAGAGACATTAGGTAAGACACGGTAGGCTGCACCTGAACATGGTAGTCCACCGTTATCAGGTCCTTTAGTTTCATGGGAAACAAGAGTGTTAATGTTTTACAAATCCATGTGTTCATTTGCAAAACGACTGAGGGTGACCCGTTTCATTTCTGATGTTTAAGGGGGTATTTAAGGTATGAAGCTAAAAATCACAAAATGTCTCAGAGGTCTTTACATACACCATCTAACAAATGAGTTATGAGCGAAAACTCATAACTCAAGAAGACATTGTTCGTTTTAAATTGTATAATAGCCAAGTGCTAATGACTCATCATTTTTGGTGATAGCCACTTGACAAATAGGAAGTCTGATGTGGGGAGATTATGCAACCATCCACTATTAACTAATGGCGTGAGTGTGTTCAACATTAGCTTGAACTATTAAACACTCCAATAGGTAGATGTTGTTGCAAAGAGATGAACTTGTTGGAGAAAGGGAAGGATCAGATGGAAAAAGAGAGGCAGCCATGAAATAAGCAATGTACCTTATTGTTGGGAAACAGTTGACCAGTTTGAACATTTCTACATTTCTCATGTGTTTTAACAGTAACTCAGCCTTGCCTGCAGTTGTTGGCAAACAATAACAGGAGAACCTTTTCGAAAGGTAAAGTATTCCTGATCTGGACTATGATAGTTTTCTGAATTGTAATAGTGATTTTATTTACATTTTATCTGGATTGTAATTTGACATTTAGTATGCATTAGTACAGCACTATATTTCACCCTTGATGTATCAACACCATCATTAGTGACTCCAGTAACTGATCTGAAACAGGATGACAGTCAGTATCCATCTTTGATGCTTTGACATGGTTTCTGATATGTTCTTATCTTCCCAGAACATGACTCGGAGCCACACACAGGGATCCCCTGGCAGACTGGACTAAAGAGAGGCTCTGCCCTGGAGGAAGATGGAGACACCATATTAGTCAGAGAGGAGGGATTCTACTTTGTGTACAGTCAGGTACATGTGTTCGCGGCATTTCATCGTTTTTCCACAGGGAGGTGCTGCTAGTCTGTTTGCCAAACACCAGATATCAGAAAAAAGAGAACATGCCTACAGTACATGCATTGCAGAAAAAAGGGTGTGCTTGATCTTAGTATACCTTCGGTTAACCTTGAAGAAAAGTAAGATAAAGAAGAGGACATGCAAATGCTGCATGCATATTCAATAAGCAGCAAAGTAGCAATTGATATAAAACCCACATGACTGTTTAAACATGCCATGCCTCATCATACCACATATTTAACCCAGTGTTTCTGATGTGAACAGGTCTACTACATAGACAGCACCTTTGCAATGGGTCACGTGGTGATCCGCAGGAAGAGGAATGTGGTGGGAGACGAGCCTCAGTATGTGATCTTGTTCCGCTGCATCCAGAACATGAACCCTGTGCACGCTTACAACACCTGCTTCACCGGAGGTTAGTCTGAGTTGTTGTTAGAGCCAAGTTCACGCTGTTTTACAACACCTGTTATGGAAAGCCAGCAAGTGTTTTTATTCATTATTCAAGCTCTCAAGCATATGTGTGTGTCTGGGGATTGGCTGCATACTGTATGTTTGTTGTGAAGCTGTTAAAAAAAAAAGGCAGTTCTTTGTCTCAAGTGTCATTTGCATCCCTCAGGTATTGTAAAGCTGGAGGTCAGGGACCACCTGGAGCTGCTGATCCCTCGTTCAACCGCCAACGTGTCCCTGTCTGGAGAATCCACCTTCCTGGGTGCTGTCAAACTGACTTAAATTGTGACAACCACAATGTGCACCTGGAGATGCTGTTGTGGCAGGAAAGAGGTACCATCAAAGTAACAAGGCACAGTTCTAGTGACCTCATCTGACTGAGACAATATGTGAGGTGAGGTGAGGTGAGGTGAAGAATAAGAAAGCAACCGTTTCTGCATTGGCTGAACAATAGACGTGTGACTCATTTCATTGTGTGTTCAGCCTGACGGGACATGAAGAGGACTGAGTCACATAACATATGTATTTACTCTTTCAAAAATACATACACCTAGCTTCATCAGTATGGTAATTTCTACAACACAACAGGGAAAAGGTGTTGTAAAAAGTACTTTTTCTTTAAATATTCACACATGGCAATATCTGCATTATAATTGTTGTATCATTCTCACACTGTTTAGTTCATTTATCTACTCCTGTAGTGCATTACTGAAATAGTTATTTCCATCCTGCTTTGTTATTCCATATATTTCATCATAAACAACAGCTGTTTGATGTATCATCTGTTAATCATCCAATGAGGGTTAACCTATATATGTCTACTCAAAAATTCCGATGCAATAAAGAAAGAGTTCTTGCACAAGCCATGACATCATCTGGAATCTGGGTGGATGTTGTTCCTCTGCTGGCCACAAGGGGGAAATGTGTTCAGTGTGGCAGATCATCCTGCCAGGCAGCAGAGAGACAAGTGTGGCTCAGGTTGAGCAGGAAATGTGGAACTTGGATAAAGTGTCTATTTTTAGATTGAGATAAACTGTACAGGCAGGTGATGTCTGCACATTCAAAGGAGATGCTGCTCAATGAATCTGTAATGCCTGTGGCGCCTGGAGGTAATAGTGAAATGGTGTTAATGGATGAATCTTCATGTTAAGCTTTAGGAAGAGGGAGGGAGAGTAACATCTGAGGCAGGATTCAGACACATTTTGATCAATGGCAAAATGCACAAGAGACATTACTCCCCAACCCAATATTTTTATGGTATCATTTTTTTCTTTCACTCATCCTCTGATAATGCTGGCTTACCGTATGTGCTAAGAGCAAAAACCAAACTGTTACATCATGAAAAAAAAAACGAATTTAGTCATAGACCTTTCTTTAAAATGTAGATCGTGGCATTATTTTTGGTTTGTTTTATTTTTGGTTTCTTCCAGTCTTCCCAATGTTAGTCTCCCTTTGTTATTAAAGTAGCCAAGTCAAGTTGACCTCACCTTTACTTTTAAAATATGGATCTACTCAGTCTGAAAGTCACTCAGTCACAACATGCATATTGTGTTTTTGTTTCAGCCAGCTAACTATTTGTTTGAAAGAAATTGATATGTATTACTATTTGGGTTCTCATGTACGCGCCACCTTGTCCAGCCATTTTCTCCCTCTCTGCTCACTCACACACACGTAGGCCTTCTGTCGGTTGGGGCAAAGAGTTAGACAAAGCCCAGTGGGTGGTCACTCCTTCACTAGGCAGTTTGCCCTTGGAGTCATGGCTCCATTTGACATGAAGAGAGTCCAAAAGAGGGGGAGGGAAGAAAAAGGTCTAAAATAGAAGCCTTGGAAAGAAAGATTTCAGATGGACTAAATGGATAGCAGTAGCCATTAGTGGAATAGAGAGAGAGAGAGAGAGAGAGAGAGAGAGAGAGAGAGAGGCTGGGAGGCTAAAAAAGAGAGCAGGCCCGGCCCATGGTACAATAGCAAGGGAAGTCAGAAACGCCTTTTGATACTCTGGTAAACAGAGCAGGCGGCTGTACAAACACCGATTGGAAAATAAGAAGTAGGGGGAAGGAGGGTATAAGAGAAGTGGGGAGCACAGACCTCTCCTATAAATGTGTCAAGCATGATGCTCCCCCTCCCTCATGGCCAGAAATGTCTTTGTGTGGTGCCATGGTGACGGCTGGTGTGTTGGCGGAAGCTGATGTCATTGTGGGCTCGCCTCTCAAAAGAAAAACCAGACGTCTGACTGGAGAATCAGGAAATGAGACCTGCTGAGTACTCATGCTGGCACTGTGTATCGTTCACACACTCACACACATGTGGCAAGTGCACAGATTTGTATGATCAAACCCACAAAAAATCTGAAATGTTATTTTTACACATAGCCTACATACTTAAAATGTTATATATTTTTTACGATGATTACATTTCTGTTTAGTAATAGTTTGAACATAATTTGCATTAGGATAAACACATTCAATAAATGTTTAGCTGGAGCTGACAATAAACATGCCTTACATTTTTAATGGTTGTCATTTGAAACAGTCTTACAGAAACTAAACAAGAAAAATACATGCCAATATTTGTTTTCTTCTTTTTCAAAGGCACATCACTAAAAATGATGTATTTTCACAGGAGGTATAGTAAGCAGGATAACCTCATATATAAATGTTTTGTGTGATTTGAGTTCAATTCTCAAGTAGCACAGTACAAAATATGTTGCCTCCTTTAATTACGCAGCGCCTCTGTTATGCCAGGTCAAAAGAGCCGCACCAAGACCGGCGGTGACTGCACAACGAGTCCGTCTCCTGCAGCAAACGTTAAGGGTCATCGCTTCTCGGTCTTTTGGCTAAGATCAAGTGTAGTATCTGTTCTCAAGGCCGGATTAGTACCTCCAGGGGCCCCTGGGCACTGAGCACTCATGGGCCCCCCCCAACCCACGTACCAACAAGTAACACCACGCCTACCCAATCCTACCAACATGACCAATATTTAGAATTTTCAGTCAATCTAGCATCTCAAATCGCACACCTATTTGTCAAAAGCAGGGACGCA